TCAGAAATATCTTTAATTACATAGTCCTATAATGTTAATTATGCTGATGATGTTTATGATTATGTTCCTCGTTGAGAAATTAAATTAATGCCAAGCGATTAGCTCTCTATCAATATAGTTGTGGTATTTAATTAGTATATCATTTCAAAGTAACACCTGAGGACTATGGTAACAATTTCAAAATCTTAAAACACTACTTTTAAATCCTCTCAATCTTCAATAATTAAAATCAGAACCATAAATTAATAGCCCACAGCTCGTTTAAAAGAGTTTTCCAACGAAAGGATAAGATTACAACAGTTAGATTAGATATTAATGATGTTAAGAAAAAGTGCATTGTACTGATACAGAATTTGCATAAACAATAAGTAAACATGTGGTCCAATGGGGTATGTAAAATCGTAAAGAATTTATCTGGTAAATATGTGTAATCCAACCTTTCAACTCCAGCATAATAAAATTCAGGTTTATCTGAATACCCGTCCGACTTTGAATTACTTGACATCACACGAGCCAGTAAGATGTATTTGTATTAAATTATAAAGAAGAAGAATGAGCATAAAACCTACTGATACTGTGTGTAGCAACAGCGTTATGAGTAAATAGGCATATCTTGTCTTTTGTTGACACAAGAAAAAGGTTTTCTTGTTATTAAGTTGTTTTGTAATGTCAATTAATTGCTGAGGTTATTTTGTTTGTTTGTCATCAGTCTTTCGACTAGTTTGATGTGGTCCTCAATTTTCGCCTATCTTGTGCCAATGTCTTCATTTCCACATATTTTTTACAGCCCACATCCTCAAAAATCTGCATCACATATTCCAGTCTTGGTCCCCCCCTACAATTCTTCCCTTCAACTGTTCCTTCCATTACCAAAGTAATAAATCCTGGGTGCCTCAGAATGTGTCCCACCGTCCTATCTCTTCTTCTCGTAAGATTTTCCCATAAACTTCTTCCTTCGCCTGTCCTGTCTAAGACCAGCTCATTTCGCACTTTATCAGCCCACTTAATTTTCAACATCCTTCTATAGTACCACATTTCAAATGCTTCTATCTTTCTTTCTGGCTTTCCCACTGACCATGTTTCGCTTCCGTAAAGCGCTATGCTCCAAACATATTACTTCAGAAAAATCTTTCTTAATTCCAGGTCAATGTTTGACACTAGTAGACTTCTCTTTTTGAAGAAGGCTCTTTTTTGCTTGTGCTAATCTGCTTTTAATGTCTTCCTTGCTTCGTCCATCTTTTGATCTTTTGCTTCTTAATAACAGAATTCCTTCACTTCCTCCACTTTGTCTTTCCAAATTTTGATATTTAATGGATCATTATTCTCATTTCTGCTGTTCCTCATAACTTTTGTCTTGTTTTTGTTTATTCTCAAGCCGAAATGATATAATTGTTGAAAGTGGTAAATCGAAAGTGATTTGGAAGAAAACAGCCCTAGCCCCTCTCAAGGTGATATAGGCAACCGAAATTCGTCTCGAAACTGAAGAATGCACAAAACCATCAGCAAGGATAGCTGTTCCCCTGCAGAGACTCGAACTTGGTACTTACTGAATACAAATCAGCTGCATTACTACCGAGGCAGCTCTCTTAATACCAAGAAGGTCAAGTCAGGTCAGGAGAAGAGTAACATACACGGAAGGTGTGCGGGTTAAAGACATTCGTAATTTTTCTTGGTTTCTGAAGAACCAAACCACTACACAGTTACAGTTTTATAACAATAAAATTACAAACTTGAAATAAATGTCTTAAATATGCAAATTAAATACATATTATTAAAACAAAACCTTTCTTTGGAATTGCAAACAAAATCAAAATATCAAGAACGAAATGCACGACAGAAAGTTCTAAGTAATACAGAGTGTCCCAAAAAGACTCATATACGGCGGCAACTTTGGTGGCCGCTTGTCAATCAGTTTCTCGCTGCCAACTGTGCCACGATAAACCCAAACTTATTCAACCTGCAAAACCCATCTATCAGTTATAGACCTGTTGCATGTTATTGTCTCTGCGTACAAAAAGCCCAAGGGGCATTTGGCGCCTGCGCTCTTTACCAAGACAGGCCTTCGGGTACGGTTACCTGAAATTATTTCCGTTTGTGTTTCCGTTCATTTTAATTCGTTTCGTTCAATTGTATGATTTTCTTTCTGGTTACAAATAAGATTTCTTTAAGAAACGCCACATAGGAAATGAAAATATCAACACCAATCAAATCCCACACCTTACAATAGTACGTCAGCTTTAGTACAAGTGATTTAGTTTCTTTTAAACCCGAGAGACAGAGCTGTCTACTGAATGAACTCATGTCGAAGGTTGTAATGCGATATTAAAATAATTGTTTTACTGTTATAACGAATAACTGTAACTAATACCTCGATTACTGGTTATAAGTCAGACTCAAAACGCCTTATCTTTCGCTTTAAGACCCATTTTTAAGCAGTGACATAAACAGAACACATGGTATCACTATAGAGCGAGATGGAGATGTTATTACACATTACATACCCAACCAGGTCTGACGATGAATGATGTGCAAATGTAGCCATTTCTTCTCCCAACAGCCGAGTTCCAGAAATCACCAATAATGATAAATATACAATGAATTCATTTTTTACATTTTTGCCTTTCGGCGTGACCTCAGACATAAAAAAACGCTATTTTTTAATAACTGATTGCTGTCCTGGAGTCTAAACCACCTAGCGGCGAGTAGCATCAGTCCTATGTGATGTATGTGCCCGTTGCCCGACCTAGTGGGTAATTATGTAACTACATCAACTGAACGAATTCGTTCGACCTGAATCTTTCGTCATAAACTTAGTATGTTCCAAGAGAACAGTGACAAATTATGCATAGCCAATGGAAACATTCCAACCGTTTCGTCCTTCACTTTTTTTCCCTTTGCACATAGCACAGCGCTTAACGCTGTCTTGATGCCAACCATACGTGAACACGTAAATCAGGGGCAGATTATCACAATTGATATTGGAAATTATTCAAAATGCAAAATTTGTATGTATTACTACATCAAGATGATCATGTCCTACCTGATCACAAACACTAGTATCACAGCATTTCTTCCACTCCAGAATGTCCGCCTCTACAGCCTTTGTCAGAATCTACTTCATCACTATCAGGTAAACCTAAATTATTACATAGTCATTACTTTATTCATAATACCACCTCAATCCCAGTATTCATTATTTAATTTAATTTCATGTTAAAAAGGAATACATCTTTCTGCCAGTAATTCTATCATTTACTTTTCTCACCGAGTTAGATTTTTCTATGGTGAAACATTTTGTTGGGACACATTATCCAAAACAAATACAGAATTTGGAGGTAGATTTGGAATTAATTTATTGACACTCATTTCTCATAATTATTTTTATTCGTCTGCAAATGAGTTTCTTACAACCACACTTGTTTCCACATACGTAGCACATTTGGCACCAAGCCAATTTTAACTGCGTGAATTATAATTAATCTCTCGCCTTTAGATAGAGGTCACAATAATCCCTGATTACTGTCATCACTTCAAGATTTGTTCTTTGTTTTTCTTAAATTGATACTTCTCAAGCTAAAACCTGTTTTTCCCATGTCACGGATTTCTGCCCCAATGCTTTTTATTCGCTTGCCTTTAAATCCTAGTCAAATGTCAATTGTCCTCTTGTTTACTTTTCTCTACAGAACATAGAGACACTCAAAATTGATCTTTTAAGTTCCTGATAAACCGGCACTGTATCCTCTAATTGGCTTCATTTTACATCAATTTAAGACCATCGTAGATTACCTCTTGTTTGACTGGAGAGTTTATTATTCTTTACAGTTGACTGTACAATGAGCCGGGATAGCCCAGTCAGTATAGTGACTAGCTACGGGCTGGATGGCCGGGGTTGTATCCCCGATGGGGGCAGAGGACTTTTTCCTCTAGCCTCTGCGTCCATACCGGCTCTGGGGCCCACCCAGCCTCCTCTACAATGGGTACCGGGGGTCCTTTCCCGGGGGTAAAGCCGGCCAGGGCGTGATGCCGACCACTCACCCCCATCTAGTGCCGAGGTCAAGGAAGAGAGGAGCTATACCTCCTCTCCCCTAGGCGCCTTTACGGCACGTAGCGGGACAAACTTTACTTTACTTTACAGTTGATTGTACAGAGGCATGTTTGAAAAACATAGGATTACAAACACCTAGTCGCGGAACAATACTAAACAATGAATTCTTAACATAGATAAATTACTGTCACACAATGTCATTGAAACAACGTAACTTGTTTTGCTCTTACAAAAAGAGCAAATCTGGTATGTAACATGCACGCTTTAAAGCGGCCCATCCACATACGTGTCTGACTTGCGAGTCGGGCTCGGATATATTTCACCACACATGCATAGCAGACTCGGCTCGTGACACCCCACCCACAATCGAGTTTGGCTCGATGGAACCCGAGCCGAGCCAGACTCGCAAGCCAGACTCATTCGTAGATGGGCCGCTTAAAACACAAAGCACATGGTAGTCATACCAAATTGTTAGGCACTGCTACTCTCATCACATTCACAACATTTGATCTTAATAGGAGGCGAGAGAAGAGAAAGGCACACGACTGCACTAAATTTAGTACGTTTCAAACCAGAGACCACTACTACAGATGCTCATCTCTTGTAATGGGAAAATTAAATTGTGTTTGTTAAATTCAAAGCTGTATAACAGAAATTAATTTCTTAAATTTTAGATCACTGAACAGGAAGTAAAAAAACATTTTAAAGATTACACATTATGTAAGATTTGAGGTTTTCACAGCGGTGAGTATGAAGATTTCTGTCTTCTGGGTTGTTGCGCTGTGTAGTCTGGTAGATGTTTACCATCAGGTCCGTAATTTGTTCTGTTTCTCATACAATGAATTGTGAATGTATTATAATCTAAAATAAATAAAAACATACGCAAGATTTTAGACTTTTACTGAAACATTCGTTCTGGGTTTCTGGTTTTACGTACGCCTGTTTACTGTTTTAACCTGCCGTAACTGCAGCTGGATTTGAGAAAATTGACCTTATCTAGATCCAGTTGAATTCGCGTGTTAACACTTTTAGAAATACAGTCAGAGTTTATGATATTGTGTCTGAATTAATTAATATTATTGAAGTTTTTATGTCTTGTGTGTAATTTTAAAGCATGCTTAGTCACTACGAATCATTGGTAGATATTTAACTACTTGTACTTGTACATGTCAGATCAACCGAACGTTGCGACCGAGTGATTAACACTCCTGTTTCCTGTCTCCTGCCTCCATCATCAGGGCGATGAATTCGTTGGTTAGCATCGACCAGACTACACAGCGCAACAACCCAGAAGACAGAAATATTCATTACACATTATGTTTTCAACATGGCCAACTCAACATATTTTAAGACAGAATTTACAAGACATTTGAAAAGAACATTTCTACATACTTAATATAATTTTATGCAATGGATTCAGTCATCTAAGATGGCTCTGTATAGCTATCCCACATGCCAAAATCCATCACACTTTACTGTTTATACAGAATGGACTGAAACAGAAATTAATACAATAAATGCTTTTATTTGTATAATAAAAAGGGACGGGCAGTTTCAAACAACACCGATCCACACAAAAATTCCACGACCTTCTTACTTCATGCCAATAAAGTCAAAAAATGTTATCACAATTTCAGAGGGATGTTTGGCCAAAGTTTTGGCTGTCTCAAATCACAATTTCTGTCAAAACCAAGTTGCATGGCAGTTTCCATTCCTAAAATCATTGGTGCAGCTTCACCGTACATCAGTTTCATTTCCCGAGTTCTCTGAAGACCGACTTGTTTTCGCGGAGGCATGGCTGCATGATCAAAACCTGCAAAATAATACACACAATGTCAACATAAATTATGTTTCCTCCCATGACGATAAGCAACAGAAAGATGTTCATTTCCCTTCCATATGCTACTTGTCCCATTAATTGCAACTGCACTGACCGACGAAGTGATTCAACCTAAATCATTCCAAGGAGCAGAGCCCTTGAGAATATTTGTTCTTAAAAGAGACTAAGTATCAGTAGGATGGAGACTGTATTTTATAATGTGGCACTTCATAATAACTGTACTCTATACTAAATAAATATATATGAGGTAAATTAAAGGAGATGAAATGGGTGGGGCATGTAGCATGAACGAGAGATGAGAATGTAGTATACATTTCTAGAAAACCTGAGGGTAACAGAATATTTGGAAGACCTAAGTGTAGATAAGATAATATTAAAATGGATGTAAAGATGTAGGGTGTGAGAATATAGACTGGATTCATCTGCCTGAGGATAGGATCCAATGGCAGACCTCTGTGAATAACAATAAATCTTTATATTTTATATAAAGTGGAGAATTTCTTCTTCTTTTACCGGTTTAACAATATTTATAAATTTTCTGGTACCCTTTTATGGGTCCCCAACTTTTTTTTTAGTTGGCTTGATCTATGGACATTCGGTAGGACTCCTTGGACGAGGGATCGGCCCGTCGCAAGGTCTCTACCTATACACAGGACAGCACAACACAGAAAAACATCCATGGATTGAGTGGGATTCAAACTCACGGTCCCAGCGACCAAGCGGCACAAGACCCACGCCTCAGACTGCGCGGCCACTGCGGACCCCGGGAATTTCTTTACTAGTTGAATGCCAAACATCTTCCCATCACTGTTCTCAAACACCATCAATCTACTATGGATCTTTCCTCGGCATGACAGACCAAAATTCACAACACAAAACAACAATATTGTAGTGACCTGGGGCATGCCTGAGTACAACTCTAGATCACTACCAGGAATTTGATGAAGGCCCGAGAGTGATTAAGCATATTCAGCCATGCCTGAGATCAGACCCTGAACCCTTTGAATACAAGTTTTAGTTTTATTGCCTACTGAATTCAGAATTTTACCATTGATTGTGAATATTCAGCTTTATACAAATTAATATACCTTTCTCTTTCTCAGCAATCTTCCTTTCTGTTTCACGTTGCTTTCCTGAAAAAGAGAAAAGGAACAATTAAGACTGCAATGTTAAGCCCCCCAAAATTAGGGCAAAACCATATTACCACTCTGTGCCAACCTCTGAAGCCACAGATGTTAGAACACAATGATGGTGGTGGTCTTGGTCTGTGGCATTTATCATAATGATCCATCATAATCCCACCTCGCAGTCCCCATTAGCCTTGCAGTTGTGTGGGATGTTATACTAAACAGACAGAACAATGCATTAACTTCAGTAATCATTATTGTTTTTATTGGACAGGCATCACTGAAAGACTGATCTATTTTATTCCGCTGCAGAACAACTGGTATCCTGGTCTTGCAGAATGTTGCACCTCGTGGTCAGACAGATACTGACCAACATTTCTGAGGTGCTTACTATATCAATAGCATAATAATGGAGGCATACGCTCATCTAAAATGTCAGTCAATATCTACCAGATTACATGGTGCAACATCCCAGAAGACAGCCATCTTCATATTTGTTACCATGAGAACCTCAAATTTCACAAATAAATCTAGCCATGGACATGTAGTTTACTTACAGTGGAAATGAAAGTAGCCAGTCCTGTCCACTTCAAACAAATTTTAATTACTGAATTCTACCAGCAAAAAATTAGAGGCAACAGTCCTGGGTTGAACTCATTCCTTAATAGTTCCCATAAACACACGGTGTAAATTTATTTGTATTTAATTCTTAAAGATATAATACGGTTAAAATATCCTAAATGGACTGGACTTACTTATGTAAATGAGCTATATAAACTGAAAGAACTGTAAAGGACTAGATTATGTGTTTCATTGTTGGATTATAAATTCACATTACCTGAATGTAACACTCAATATGATTTCATGGCTAGGCTTATGAAGGTAGCTAGAGATATGAAATGCCATAAACTTAATTTCCAACTTCAAATTAACCAATCTAATTCACAAATCATTTTGTTAATTAATTGCAACCAAATGTCAGAGCTGAGTGGTAAAACTTCTGCTTTGTATTTAAGAGGTCATGCGGTCAAATCTCAGCGCAGATATCAGCTCTCCTGTCTGATGGTTTTCATGATTTTCCCCAGTCTCTGCAGGCAAATGCCTTAAATTAGGCCACAACCCCTTCTGTATACTTTCCCATTCACTATTCATGAATCATATAAGCACTCTTAGCTACTGAAACTGTCATGAAATAAACCACAGACAAATAAATTGCAAGGTTTACAGTCTTCTGATAAAAGTTCATACTCAGATAGCTGTCAAGAAATTCCTGAATTTTATGGGACTTGAAGATTCATTACTGTGTTTACAAAATCCAGTCACTGAATCCTATCATGAACTACTTTGTCTTCCATTATTTTTAATCACTCTATTAACCTCTGAATCCAAAGTTCATCTAAATAATATTTAAAAATTCAGTTCCTCCACACAGAAAACACATCCAGTTACCATTACAAACAGTTTGTTAATGCTGTCTAAGGAGTAACCACAGTTTAATCTGAGAATACAAAACCCATAAATACAATCTACAGCAAAATGCAGAGTTACTGGATGTTAAAGCAGGTGGTACATAAGATTGCCATTTGGCCTTAAAAGGTAAATATTAGGCGAACAATACAAATTATAAATCTAGTTATTACCTAACTTTTCACACAAAATCAGAATATCACAATCTGTACATGACTGGTTGCCTTAATACATTAATTAGATAAACTGATACTTTAACTCACACTGTGTGCTTGTTCATGAACATCCCACACATACATAACAAAGCCTATGGAGACAGGACATGAGACATGTTTCACATGTTAATGAACTAGAGTGAAAATGTCTGCCTGAATATAAACTTCAAATATTTTCCAAACACTTTCCTTCAGCAACTGAAAGAGGGCACGTTGACAGCAAGAATGGGTATATATCTCTGAATCGTTACACACAGTGGTGGTGGAGCTGATCATGAGGCCCCTTAACCCACCCCCTTTCCACCACTGCTTACACAAGAACTACAAGAGTGTAAATCCTATTCTTCATAATAGATATTGCCAGAAGCCATGCAGAAAGTGTTAAAATTTTTCAGATTTCCTATGAATACATGGTATATCAAATAAAGTAATATAATATAAGCAAAATTTATATATGGAATACAGCAGACTATTCCTTCAAAAATATCAGGACATAACTTATAACATACTGCAAGTTCTATTTCAAAGAAAGACAAAGAGGAACCATGTATCACATATTTAGAAGGTTTCACTTTTATTCCAGACAACACAAGAAAACGCTGTTAGGCAAATGAAGATCATTCATAACCTGATTTTGAAGTGTTTAAAACCTAAAGAACACAATTCTGAATTATTCTGCATCATCTAACTCTAAACCCTAAATTTTAATCTCACTGGATGAAAACATTAAATTATGTTTGTGTTGTAATACATTTTCTTTTACTGTAAATACAGGATGGGTGAATAAGGCAGGCCAAACCTACAGCACTGATCAAAAATGTTGCACAAATATCAGTGCTATGTGGGAACAAATTAAGAATCTAAACAAACTTGACAAACACTACACTTTTTGCCAGCTGTCTCATTTCAGGCTATGAATCTGATGAATTACTGATATGCTCTGTAGTGTTGAAGGAAGATGATGATAAATGGTAAGTAGGTGAAGAGTTTGGAAGAAGACAGTTATAGCATACTTGGCAGCTCTCAGACTCATGGAAAAACAGCATAATAGTGAGCTAATTTGTTTTCCAGTCTCTATGTAAGGAAGTGTGTTGTTTTAGAATCATGTAATAAAGTCATGTCAACTTTTTGGAATGATTCTCTTTCAGGAGGGTATTGGAGTATTTGTGAAGGAGGTTGTTAACCTCACTGTTAACTTCAACAGTGCTGACCTAGGGAAGTGCCTTTTGCTTATAAATATTAATTGAAATTAAAAACAGCATATTTGTATTATTGACAGGAATGTTATTGTTACAACAGATTCTCTAAATACTGTGAGTAATGCTAGAAAGCTAGACTCTCATGACTGGATGGTTCATAATAACCAGGATTTAATGGCAGAACAGTCGAATACTTGCAACCAGCTATATTCCACAACAGCAAGTGGGACTCGATGATACAGAATATCACAGGTTTTTGTTAAAGAATATTTATATCTGACATCATACATTAAGTAGCATCCAGTTTCATTCATCTGATTTTAGACCACACCACCAAAAAAGCAAGTACACAATCCACAATTAAAACTTACTGAGTTCCATTTTATGTCGAATGCTTTGCTCAAAGAAGTCCATCATCTCTTCTGTTATTTGAAATTCAAACTCGTCTTGATTTGAACTGTCGCCTTTACACTGTTCTGCACTATTACTGGGTTTTCCCTGCTGCTGTTCTTTTGTGTTCCATATCTGTTCCTCTGGAGAAGGAATACTACAGATTTTAGAAACTTTTGGAACACGTTTATGTATCGTATGACACACTGGATTTCCACCATTACATATCAGGCTTTGTACATACTGGTGTAATAAAGTATTTTCGTATTCAAGTGCAATTGACCGGGATTTCCAATATGCAACCTGATGGCGTTCTTGCCATTCTATAGCATTATAGTAGTTCTCCCAAAACCAGTTACACTGTGAGGAATCGCCAAAAGGCTGAGGAACCGCGTGTGAAATATGCCAAGCATTACAGTCCCTTTTCTTTTTCCTAAAATTTTTCTGTTTTCTCTTTGAATGTTTCTGACGCATATCTACGTCAATTTCAGGCTTTATATTTTTGTTACAGGCTTCTTTACTAGCCATTAAAACAACACGCAGTCAAAACCAGTCCTGTTAACAGCAATTCACGAATTCTGTCCCAAAACAAAGGACATGCAAAGCCTTAATTTCTAAATAGTGACCGTTATTAGCAAAAATAATAAACTGAACACCACCAGAAGAATTGTATGAAATCAAACAATCGTTCATTTTTACAGGAATCAATTTTACTCACTACTACAAACTTTACACAATAGCTAATACCAACATTACTTAATGTAGCACCACGGTAATAACAAAATCCCTTTGAAGCCTTATGTACTTATCCGTTACAGACAATACCAACTTACAAACAGATGGGCGAGAGCAGCAAAGAGATAATTGTGTGGGAGCGAACACTGTTTCTCCACGGCTGGAAGGTTTGAGGGGGGGGAAGGAGCATCCTATTGTTAGGAAGGATACCATCAATGCCTGGTCGTCCTTTTGGAGAGAATGAGAGTTTTGAAGCCGAAATAGTGAGAGCTTGATAACAGAGACGGCGGAATTTTTCTTTCTTGAATGTTGTAAGAAATTTGGAAGGTTAAGTAAATTAGTGACCTCTACAGAATTGGGTAAATTCTAATTAAATGGGGAGGGCTCTATAAGAAGCACGCAGAACAAACTTGGAACTGAGGAACCATCTCAGCATTTGAAGATGAAGTTTCAGCCTTCACTTGAAAGAAAACACAAAGTATCTACATTATAAAAATCAAGTGATTAATATTGTTTGATAAAATAATCATTGTTTAGTCTGAAGATAATATGAAACCCATAAATAGATCATGTCGGCAAAATTCAGAATTTCTTATTGTTAAAATAGATGATAAATACAGTTTGTATTGAGTTTTAAAATGTCATGGAGTGACTAGTGGCTTAGCTATACAATCTCAATATGTTAATCATCGTTAAAGCGACACTTTCAGATGATATTTGTGTTCATGTTAATTTTCCTTCTTTTACAGTCTTTATGTTGTTTTCCTCCTTTTGGATTGTTCTTAAAAGTTAAATTTCGGAAATGCAATCTTTCTCCTTTGTGTAATAGAATAATTCGATGATGTGTGACGCATCTTCCTCGCGATCATACATTTAAAACTTCTATGTTGGCTAAGGTATATAAAAAATAATGACATGGTGCCATAATGGAGTAAACGGAAATACCGAGAAATTATGCAGTATGCGAAATTTCCAATCCTGCAGTTGGTATCTCATATTTGACGGTTACCAACCAACCAAAACCAACCAAAAAGCTAATGAGGGCGGAGGCCTGCGCAAGCGCGACCCGACTTCGATAGCTCATGTAGTTCCCTAGTTTTTCTTTTCTTTTCCCAAAGTGGTGATGTTTTCATTTGAAGAAGTTGGTCACTGTGCGCAATGGCGTGTAAAGTACAAGCTTGTAGTCAGAGTCACATTTTAGAGGAAAGATGTCGAAAGTATAAGACAATGTGAATAACTACATTGCGCACATAAACTTAACATTTCTTACTGCAAGAAGAGAAGGAAGAAGATGGACGACTTGAATGAAGAGGGAGCGGTTTGTAGAATATTCTGTTGTGTAAAATTACTTCAGTATTGGCCTAATTCAAGCTGTCCCGTTGCTTACAGTTTTTAAAGAATGTATTATTAATTCATTCCTAGTTCATTTGATTTAAGTGCTGAACTCATGTTTTCAGGAATTATATAGTCACCATGGTGTAGTGGTTAAAAGTCAAAGCCAAAACCGGGATGACGATTTTCAGTGCTCTGGTACTTTGAGTATCGTTGAATATGTGAGTAATCATAGTCTAATTATTTTGCTTTCATGTAGTTGTGAATGCCACCCGTTAACTGTAGCCATATTACGAGTATAAGCAATATATGTAATTACGGATCATCAACCTTATGTCCACAAGCACCTTGTTACCTGCAGAAGTGTCCTGAGTGCACTCTAGAATGTTCACATATACAGCCAAAGGAGAGGGAGATGTCAGTGCTTATGCCTTGTGGTTTCTCATGTTTGGGACAGGGTTGAAGTACATGGAAGAATGCTTATGCAATATGTTAATTGTCCCATAACCGTAAAATGTACTGTTTTAAATTGCACATTTTTATGTAATGTCAATAATATTGAATCTGGCAATGGACAGGTGCATAGTGATTCTAGCATGAATTTCATATTGTGCAGTGTGATATTCTAATTTTGTTTCTTTACAGTGCAGCATCGGTAAATGTATTGAATGGAAGCCAACAGAGGTGTCGGTGGATTCAGAGACACATGACCAAGAATGGGCAATGGTCAATGCAGTAGGACGCAGGAATCTTCCTTCAAATGGTAAGTTACAACATTTTATTAAAAGTGTTATATTTTGGAACATTTCAGCCCAGCTGTTAACCCCCACATTGTTACTGACTTGTACCTGTAGTCACATTTCCCTTCAAATTTTAGTTAATGTTTCACATGTACCCAAAATGGATGATGGTAAAAAATACAAATTCTAATATTGGTGAAATTTCAAAGTTACAAAACCCCAAGTCATTTGATCTCTCACTCTAGCAGAACATAGATAATGTTTGAGAAGAAGGTGCTAAGGAGTGTGTTTGGACCCAAGAAAGAGGAAATAACAAGTAACTGGAGAAATGTACATAAGGAGGTCATTTTTTATTTTCTTCACTTAATTCAGATTATATCAAGATGGGTGGTGAAATAGGCAGGACATAAGGTTGCATTGAAAATTTATTGAAAGTATTGGTCAGGAACCTCAAGAGAAGAGACTGCTTAGGAAACCTTTACTTAAATGGAGGATAATATTAGAATGGATTATAAATGACATTAGAACATGGACTGGATTCAGCTAGCTCAGGATAGGGGCTTATGGTTAACATAGTAATAACCTTTAGATTTCTTAAAAGCTGGGATTTTTTTGAGTAATAATAATTAAACAACAGTTTTAATGTTTAAGGAAGATTCTATATCATGAAATTTGTTATCTTGTCAGTAATATTATGGTAATGTTGTCTTCTTTTAATTAGGAAGTAATGAAGGTCAGAATCGATGTCGATCAGTACGTATTGAATTGGCAGATCTTAAAAGTTTCTATATTACAAGAAATATGCAGCGGGTAACATTGATGCAGCGGGATGGAACAACACACAGTGCATTCTTCTTCCAGCATGGCAATGCTGACTGTTTTGTGGCAGCTCTGAAAGGAAACATTAAAACTATTAGGTGAGATACACCATTCAAGACATGCAACAAATTCAAAACATACATTTAGTATGGCACTTCTATGATCTTCACTGCTACTATTCTAGAATAACTTATGAGCCAAGAAATATTTAGAAATAGTCTTTATATAATTGATACTATGTACTTCATTAATAAGTGATGTTATTTTAAGACAGAATGATCTCTGTCATATCGACGAAGAAGCCCTGAACATTTTTCATGGACAGGTTAAAACTTATCTAAGTGTAGACTTACATTCTGTTTGATAAAAGATAAAATACATTTCCCTGTGGATGTAGTGTTATATAACTTAATTCTTGTTCTTAGATAGATAGATGTATCCTGTAACTCCTAAGTGGAGCATAGGGCCTCCTGTCGGAGGTTTCATAGTCTTTTAAAGCGTGCATTTAAGAGTAGCCCACTGACTGCACAAATTCTACTTCACTCCTGATTTGACAGCCAGAGCCATCTAGCAGTGAAGCAGTGAGCCAGGAGATACTTGGGTGAGAAGTGGCCGCTGAATTTTGCTTATGAAACATCTTGTATCATGCTCGCAAGGTTCTTTTACATGCCGTAAATCTACGACATGGGACCGCCGGCTTTACTTCCCCTCCGAAGGAAGTTGTGCTATGGATTTTTATCACCCTTAAAAATCCATCGACCTTGGCCGGGATTGAAGATTGGGTCCAGTGGCAAGCACGCTAACCACTAGTCCACCGAGGGTGACAATTCTTGTTCTTGGCTAATAGCTATTCAACGGGTAGCAGACAGTTAAAACATTCAGGAAGAATGCTGTTACAGAATGATGTATTATGTGTCAGAAAAATGATAAAGATTAATGATAATGGCACTGAGGATGATCTTCTAGATTGTGATGCTGTGGCATCTGCCAACTAATCTACACAGTGCCAAAACTCAGAAGATCATGATCATCATAAACCACAATCTGTATATTTTATACTTATCTGTTTGCATAGATCCAGGAAGGATAAGCATCTGTTCATAGTGCCAGATCAGCCGGAAAGTCAGGCGCTGAATCGATCATTTGCAGAATTGGATCTCTACACGGAGAACACATCAGATTTTGTGTGGAGATTTGTAAAAAACTTGCCTCACCGTCCATATGAATCTGCTTTAGAAGCTTTCTGCAAGGTTACTGACCTTTTGTGTAAGTACTTGACGTTAAGTTATAAGAATCAAACAAGCTTGTCAGTGTGACTTGAAATTTTTACTGTATCTCCTCAGAATGCTGCAGTTGCTGTTTTAGTTACCTTTACTTTTTTGTTGAAAGAGAGATGCTGGTACTGAATTTTAGTGGAGGTGAGTGGACAGTTTTTTAAATGTTGCTAATATATCCAAAATGAATGGAACAGGAACTAAACTTAAAATGAAAGGTGTCCTTACTTCGGACACTGCCATTCCATAATTTATATTAGTATGCAGTTTTTATTTCGTAGGTTTTTAAAATGATGCTGATGCAGCATAACAATGCGTATTACCAGCAAAAGTCATGCTGTTCCGAAGGTTTGTGAGAATTGACAGCATTATTTTGTTTGAGTGTGGCTGGTTTCCATATTCATGTACTTGGTCTGAGAGGCTTCTTTGATTAAATGTATTCCTTATTACAAGAATAAATTATAGATGGTTTATACGAGGCTCGTCGACAAAGTAAGTTTCCCTGGGGCCGTTTACAGAAACAAAACACAATTTCATGGAAATATTTATTGCAACAGATACAGCAAGTGTCTAGCTATTTTTCAACATATTCGCCACCGGAATTGAGACATTTGTCATACCGTGGGACCAACTTTTGAATACCTGTGTCGTAGAAGTCTGCCGCCTGGGATGGGACCCACTGTGCACCTCCCAGCTGAACTCCTGCAGGAGACTTGCTGTCTGTCGAGCCGTGTGCGGCCTAGCGTTATCCCTGACCGCACTTCACAGTCGGCGGGAGCTGGAATAAGAACCTCCATCTTCAACCGCTGCAACGATGCTACTGTGAGAACGCGGGAAGTGCCGTTAGTGCATGCGCCATGCTACGTCATTGCTCTATCACGTACGCACAGTCGCTTCGCGCAATATAAGGTTTGCTAGCTGTGGGACGAGTGGGAAACTTACTTTGTACATGAAAACAATTGTGGAAGAATGTACTCCAGTGGAGATACTGGGCCTACAATTTATGAGGCTGCGGTCGTGCTTGCATTGCATGGTCGGCAGGCGTTCTGTTGATGTGGGTGGGAGTTGTGCGCGTTCTTCTGGTGGGTGACTGGCGAATCAGTTTCAGTGCCGCTAGTAACAGTTAACTACGAATGTTTCTCATCACTAATACATGTTATTACATTAATTATTCTTACCTTAAATCACAGAAGATGTTCAAAGTGACTTCCTTGTGCTTGCAGGCAAGCTTCACATCTCATTAACATGTTTCAAAATACTCGACGAAGCTCTTCTTGGAAAATTGCCGAAATCACTTGTCGAATATTTTCTTTAAGTTTTTCTGCAGTGTGCGGATAAATTGTAAACGTTATGTATATTTAATACTTGGACCCTTTTTCCTCATAAATTGTAGACCTGGTACCTGTTTTCCAAATGCATTCCTTTTGGTCTAGTAGTACCTCTTAACCTTTAAACGACGGGCGTTTAAATGGTAAAGTGGTAGCAGCCCTACTGAGTTTTTTTTGCGGGTATTTAAACTTTTGTGCAGGCTCTACGGAAAACTTTAATATTATCTAAAGCAAACATGATAAAATGACAAAATAAAAGCCATATTTATGCGACAAGAACAGAGAATACACAGAGTTTTTTAAAAATGTTTGCTAGTAAACCAGCACGACAAAGTTGAAGAATTAAAATGCTGGAACATTATTAATTGCCGAAATATATACTAAATATCTATAAGTTTCTAAATTTTGAGTTTCTTTTACTTACATTTTGGTTGGAGGCTTTGTTGGTGAAGCGTTTTGCAGTTGAATACTTTTACAGCTGTGTCTTGGTGTGATATTCTAAGAAGCAGATTTTGTCCACACATAAACCCACCTCACATTTCTGACACTTCACACTGACTTTTCTTGTTACCCCGCAAGCTGAACACACGCGACATGCAGGCCATTAGATGGAACAGGCCAGCGCTTATTGCCAGTAGTGTCCAGTGGTGACTTTATTGGTAACATTTGCTAGCCTACCTGGTGGTCTGTGTACACATGGCTGTTGTTGTCCAGCATGTGTTAGCATATTTCTCACTAGGGCAAGTTGAAATTCTCTGTGTGTGATTTTCTTTCCACGACATGAAGAAATAATAATATAACTGTTCCCTCTAATTTAGTGGATTAGTGGGTTTGAAAATGAAGCCCAAACCCACTTGACATAAACAAAATTTATTGCTCTATGGTTATACGAGGCTCGTCCTTAAAGTAAGTTTCCCTGGGGCCGTTTACAGAAACAAAACACAATTTCATGGAAATATTTATTGCAACAGATACAGCAAGTGTCCAGCTATTTTTCAACATATTCGCCACCGGAAGTGAGACATTTGTCATACCGTGGGACCAACTTTGGAATCCCTGTACAAGGTTTATGCGAAAAAATTTCAGGGTTATGTCTTTTGTATAATTTATGCAAAGTCGAGCATAAATTTCCTGTAATGAATTGGATGTGGAAGGTCCACTTACCTCCTCCTGCTTTCCCCTTAAGTACTTTGTGATGCTCGCTTTCTTTGTAAACATTTCTGCTACAGAATAAAAGTGAGATGTCTGAAATATGCTATCGAAAATGTTTTTGTGCGCTCCCATATCAATAAGTAAGGCTACATGAATAATGTATACATCATTGTGCGAGTCATCCCAGTAAAAATAGTGATTAAAATGGAATCAGCATGTTAAATGAAGCCTTAATTTATTTTTTCGTCCCTTGTCATATTTTACGTGCTTCCTCTAAATACTGAAACAACAAATATGAAAACACAGCGTTATAATTGTACGAGGCGCGTCCTCAAAGTAAGTTTTCCTGGTTCCGTTTACAGAAACAAAACACAATTTCATGGGAATATTTATTGCAACAGATACAGCAAGTGTCCAGCTATTTTTCAACATATTCGCCACCGGAATTGAGACATTTGTCATACCGTGGGACCAACTTTTGAATACCTGTGTCGTAGAAGTCTGCCGCCTGGGATTGGAACCACTGTGTGACAACCATCTCCGCCTCTCTTTCATTCTCAAAACGCTGACGCTGACCGGACAGGAATTTCTTGAGGTGTAGGAAAAGATGGAAATCACTGGGAGCGAGGTCCGGGCTGTAGGGTGAATGATTAAACACCTCCCAGCTGAACTCCTGCAGGAGACTTGCTGTCCGTTGAGCCGTGTGCGGCCTAGCGTTATCACTGGCCGCACTTCACAGTCGGCGGGAGCTGGAATAAGAATCTCCATCTTCAACAGCTGCAACGATGCTACTGTGAGAACGCGGGAAGTGCCGTTAGTGCATGCGCCATGCTACGTCATTGCTCTATCACGTACGCACAGTCGCTTCGCTCAATATAAGGTTTGCTAGCTGTGGGACGAGTGGGAAACTTACTTTTGGGACGCGCCTCGTAGTTTCCGGTTGACAGCTCAGGGTGAACTTGTCAGGACCCTAGAGAAAGTGATTCAATTTTTGCAGCCTCTAAAGGAGGCCAAAAGACGTAGCCAAGTCTCCTTACAATTTTGCAAGTAATTACGTTCCCCACAAGGAACGTTCGTAGGGCTGAGTACTCAACTTACCGTTCCCGACAAAGAAAGGAAGTAGGATAAAGGTTAACATAATTTGTGGCAGTGGAAATTTTTTTGTCTTATTTATTAAGACAGTGGACAGTCTACTTCTTGTTCGTCCTCCTTCTCCTAAGAAGTTTCTGTTTCATATCTCACTAAAGAAAATACTAAGCCATTGTTACAGACCAAGCTGTTAGCATAATGCTGCCATAATTGTAATAATTTATGTAACAGATAAAATTGATCACAAGTAAAGGTAGTATTGATTACACAGATTAAACCAACTTCATTTTGTTTGTTCATGTCAATAGTATTTAGGCCACCAGAGCAGCGGAGAGAAGAAGAAGTTGCAGAGCTGCTAAATAGAAGCCTAACCCTGGATGAGTCACCTGCTAATGTTGCTGTAGAAGAATATGCAGTCATACAACTCGGTAATGGGCCGATTTTGCCGCCTCGCCCCCCCGCTCCTCGAGGCCCGCCACTTACTGTGGAACAGTGGACACGGTTTCAAGATAAAGATGGCCGCATCTTAGAAGTGGAAACTCTGAAAGACATCATATTCAGAGGGGTGAGCTATTCATATGGAGCTCTTTATGAAGTAGTTTTAAACAGTCCCATTTTGAATACAGTAACAGAAATTTCAGACCCAGTGTATATTTTCACTTTTCTCGTCATCATCATATTGGCCATAAAATCATGAAGAATGTAACTTTGGCATCAGATCATCCTTGAAGACTGCAAGCCATTTAAAATATTCCTTTTTGTTTTGTGTAAAAAGTTCATTATCAAGAAAAAACATATCATTCAACTTCAGTGTATCACTGCTTGTGTGCGATCCAGGTAATTGTGAGTGTCACTATATTAACCCTGGAGTTAAAATCTGGCTTTCAGCCATAGTACAGGCATTTAAATCTACTATTTCTGTTTGGTGAAAGTTATTGTTATTATTCCAGTAATTTCTTGCCTTCCCTCTTGCTTTCTTTCTTCAGAATTTTCTAACTAATATATTTCTTGGCTGTCCCGCGCCGTAGCCGCGCGGTCTGAGGCATCATGCTTCGGAATGCGCTTTGGTTCGAGTCTCGGGAAAAGAAATTTCTCATGAGATTTTTGACCAGTGTATGGGACCGGTGCCAACCCAGCATCGTGAGGAAATTGGGGAGCTACAATGAGTAGCGTAATCCGGTCATGGAAACTAGCAGTGGCTGGGGGGTCGTCGTGCTGACCACACGTCACCCTATATCTGGTTGGATGATCGTTCACCTCTGCTTAGACATGTGAACGTGAGGCCAGCTAGTCGGCTTTGGCTCTCAGAGGGCTGTTACGCTACGGGTTTATTTTATATTTCTTAGCTCTACCATGATTATAGTCTACCCCAGCTTGTTACCTTCATTTATTAATTCTGACAAATACGGTAAACAGAGCAAACAGCCCTTCATTCATCTACAAGACTTGCATTTAGATATTATTCTCAAGAAGCTGGTATATCTCAATAATGTTACTGGTACAGGAAGTTTACAATCCATATTTTAGCTGCTGTGGAAATCTAAAATGTATATTATAACTAATTTATTGTGTAATACATGTCTTTAGCTTATAGTTGTTTAGGTATGTAGCAAACATAAAATTATCTCAGTACGTTAAACGAGAATGAAGAATAATAAAATAAGACAAGTTTCTTCACCTTTGAGAAGTGTAGTAAGATATAAGGTTACTTCTACACAAAGGTGCGAGTTTTGAAAATATGAGTCTACATTTTGTAATATCAATTGAAAACTTTAACAAGATGTCAGATTAATTGCACATTATGTAGCTTAAAGGATTTGCATCACAATGTGTACTGCCACAGTCACCAGGTGGTGCATATAGGAAGGCATCAAACTGCCCAAGTGCGATTGTATTAGTAAGTATATCAGCGTTGTTTGTATAGGGAGTGGAGCCTCATCTTCGATATGAAGTGTGGAAGTTCCTCCTGGGGTACTTCCCATGGGATTCGACGCACGCCGACAGACAGAAATTACGAAAACAAAAAGTGGAAGAATACTTTCAGATGAAGTTACAATGGCGAAGTGTAACTCCAGGTCAAGAACAGAGGTTTTCTGATTTTCGCGAAAGGAAAAGTCTTGTTGGTGAGTAGTGTTTATGATTTGGCCACAAAAGATAGTAGAACTCTGGTAGCCAGATCTGATACCAAAGACCACCATTGAATATCATTATGATACAATTCTATCCACCTTCTGTCTTCACATCTTGTTTTTGTAAGACTGTCTTAATGTCATCCTCTGATCTACAGTTTCCCCACCAAAATTCTGTATGCATTTGTATCCCTTGTCATGTCTCGTTCATCATATCTTGATTTCTGACCTAGATCATAAAAGCTTTGTTCGTAATGCAACTGAAATTGAGGTATGGTATGAGGTCTTCTTTGAACAGTGGGTAGTTGGTCATCAGATCAAAAAATGTCCTTTTGCTCATCTGCCTGATGCATGTTACATTAATGTCCTTGTTATCCTTCTTCATGTACTTGGCCCGGAAGATTTGGGAGGCTGTGACGGGAGGAGACGAGTGCATACAGGATTTTGGTGGGGAAATTTTCAGAAAAAAACCACTTGGAAGGATAATATTAAGGTGGATCATAGAGAGATGGGTTTAGCAGATGGGGATGGATGAACCTGTCTTACAACCGTGTCCATTAGGTCCATTGACTGGTTTGGTATTGATGGTATAGAAACTCCTTCAAAGGGTAAGTTGTTTCGTTAGTTGGTCACTGTCATACTTTGCCTGTTAGTATTTTCTTTCATAATGATGAGTTCATTATTCTGTTACAATGTAATATTGAGGTATTTTTACTTATAATTTTGCTTTGCTAATATGTTCCACAGAGAAAGATGTAACCAGGACAGACCGCACAGTCCAGTTCTTTGCCGGGGAAAACAACAAAAACCTGCAGACTCTGTCCGACATTCTGATGACGTATGTCATGTACAATTTTGATCTTGGTTACGTACAGGGAATGAGTGATCTGCTTTCACCAATTCTCTGTCTCATGACTGATGAAGTAGATGCCTTCTGGTGTTTTGTGGGCTTCATGGACAAAGTGGTAACATATAATATCATCATGTATTTACATATATTTGTATAGTTCTAGAAGAAAAATAAGCACACAAATTGTAGTTTTCAGAATGGATAATGCTATCTAATGCATGTATTTATGTATGAATTAGCAGAATGTGAAGTCTGGGGTATTGCTGGAATATTCAGATATGTAATTACAGGTAACCCAAATCATAATCATTGATTTTATTTCAAATGAATGAACAAATGCTTCATACATACATACATCTTTATTACATTTCTTGCTCACTCAGGAACAGAGTATACAAGTGGGTAATAGGACTTTGTACTTATGTTATGTGACGTGAAGACTGACATTGAAAGTGTTTTATAAGGGTCGTACATTGTTCTATATTTTCAGTGTAGCAACTTTGAGTTGGACCAAGCTGGTATGAAGCAGCAGCTCCAACAGTTGTACTGCCTGTTGTCAGTGACTCTGCCTGATCTGGCTACATATTTGGAGAAACACGATTCTGGGAACATGTTCTTCTGTTTCCGTTGGCTACTGGTATTGTTCAAACGGGAATTCTTACATCAAGACATTATGAGACTCTGGGAGGTGTTATGGACGGACTTGCCTTGTCCAAATTTTCATCTTCTGTTCTGTGTTGCAATTCTAGACTCACAACAGCATATTCTTACAGAGAATAATTATGGATTTACTGAGATATTGAAGGTAACTGGCCAGATATACCATATTTAAGTACATAATATACATTTTTTCCTGAAATTTAATAAATTTTGAGTGTTGTGCTGTACGATGCAGAATGGATAGGATAAACTCTCTGCTACTGAATTGGTCCGCGAATCCGGAAAGGTCGGAAATCACCGGAAAGATTAGTTGCGGTGATTACTAACATCATGCTTCATGTATGTTTTTACTTTTCTTTCAGCACATCAATGATCTGTCATTGAACATTGAATTGGATTCAACTGTAAGTAAAGCAGAAGGAATTTTTCACCAACTGACATCAGCTGTAAAGTTGCCTGATGTTGCAAGAAAGATTATTGGGCTGGATCCCCTTGGAGATCCTGATGGTGAGGACAAAAATGATTCAGCTCAGGCAACAAATGTCGACAGAGGATTAAAAGTTGAAGAGGGTCCTGAATCACTGGAAACTGTTACATACGAACCCAGTACAGGAGAGGTATCATTTGAGCGATCCCTCAATCTGAATTATCTGTAAAGTGATCAGATTGTTAGAAGTTGTGTTTAAAGGGGATATTATGATTTTAAAATATTTTAAGTGGAAAGCACATAAATTATTTATCCATGTTTTGAACACTTCATATTTTGTAACTGAATGTTATGTATATAAATTGTAACATTTTCATTTATACAGTGATAATGGGCTTTTTAGATTTGGACTCATGTTTCAGTACTCACTGAAATTGATTCAAATATCAGAGTTCAACATTAATATTGTCAGGATGCACTCAAAAAATCCTTAGTTTAAGAATTGTAGATTCTTCATTGTTTTCATCAATATACTGGATGTATCCGGATACTACGTGCAGCAAGTAAGACTTGCTCCCTATTGTTAGAGCTTTTTTACAGAAAGAATTAGTTGAATGAGACCAGAAAATGATGTGGCTAGTCCCACCTTATTAATATACAGTCGTGCACACTGGCAGATAAAACAGCAACAGCATGAAAAAATAATAAAATATGATACCAGATGCATCACCACTGTTTGAATTGTACTCGTCACCAGAGTCCAAAACTACCATAATGGTACATTGAAATGCTAACGGGTTTTTTATTCGTATGCATTAGAAAACCTTTGTGTACCACTTTGGTTTAATAAGGACAACAATTTCAGTACACTCCACTCCTTACTTATTGCTGTTGGAAGATCAGGCTTTTTGTTTCATCCGATGGCACGATTCGGCTCACATGAGTAATGTTGCTAGGTCTACTGCTGCATTTTGTGTATCTCTACATGGCACTTTGTGCTTCCCCAGTCATATCCTCAAAAACAAGAATTTTGTAAAAAAAAAATGGTGCACGTTATTTGGATAACTAGAATGTTTTGCTTAAATACTGTTGTCTCTTCATAATTACAGTTGTATTAAAGAATATATTTTTTGTAACTTATACTTTGTGTGATACTTCTATATTTGGAAACAAACAGGTTAATCCTTTCTTCTTTTTATGTCCTTGGCCATTATTTTAATGGTGTAGGTGCTGTCAAAAATGCTAACTTTCTTCCTTTACTTGTTGCTTTCCCCAGCCAGTACTTCATCCCCACCTATTTCTGCTCCTGTGGTATATGAAAACTACAGTCAGCCATTTCATTGTCACAACCTTCATCTGACGCAGTAATAGTCTCTAGTCGAGAGAACCTATTATGCAAGCTCATTATTTTGCAGAGACTAATAATGTGCCATCTCCAGGAAAGACAAGTAATTTGAAATGGAACAGTACTGTGTGTGATCTTCCACATAACTAACTTTACAACTGAATCTTTCTCATTATGTTATTTCAGTTACATATTAGAACTAAATTGGAGTCCGCACTGGCCGTGCGGTCTCTGGGACCGTGGGTTCGATCCTACTCAAGCCATGGATATTTGTCCACGTTTTTCTGTGTTGTACTGTCCTGTGTATAGGTAGAGGCCTTGTGACAGGCCAATCCCTCGTCCAAGGAGTCCTACTGAATGTCAATAGATCAAGCCAACGAAAAGTTGGGACCCGCAGTGCCTAGGCACTTGAAGAACGGGTCGTTCCCAGTATTAGAACTAAATTATGCAATTCACCTGTTACTTAATCCTCTTAGGTCCAAATATTTTAGTGCCCTGTTCTGAAACATCCTCAGTCTGTGTTCTTCCCTTCATGTGAAAGATAAAATTTCACACCCATACTAAATGACACAAAATAATGTTTTGTATGTGACTGATATCACTGATATTTCTCAATAAAACAGGTATGATAATTGGTCCCTTCCAGTTCTCTGTCAGAATTTGTTCAGTGACTGGCATTTTGTAGCTCTTTAACTTTTCAGTACCAGTCTCACTTTTTTAAAATTGTAATTAATTATGTTAGGAAATATTCATTAACACAGGACATTCTGGTTTCATTAAGTAGCAATGATACGATTGTTTCTTGGGTCATTTAATGACAAATTTTCAATGTCATGTCTCATGTAACAAAAGACAGAAGGTTGAATGAGTTATCTACTTTAAGGTACTATCCCATTATTTTACTTGCAGAAACTGAAGAAAACCATAAAACTTGTCAGGACACCATGACTCGAGAGGAGTGTAAACTTCTCTATGTTCAGTGCAATAACATTAAACATCACTAATTACTTATGTAATACATGTAAACTTAAACTGCTTTTTTCTGTTTGAGAATGGTTAGGGCACAGATAAAGAAAGCACTATTTGTCTCACTCTTAGCTACTTCCACTACGATGTAACTTCAAGTTTCACTGCTATTTCAGAAACATAGAAAAGTTTACAAAGCCAGAACTCAAAATATGCGTCACTAAACAGCTTTATTACTCTTAGCTAATGTATGATCAGCAGTGTCTTATAAGAGCATAGACAACATTGAATTTCTTTCTACACACTTTCACACACGATGCCTCAAAAATGTTTACGGGAATGCTTTTTAAGACTACTTGATCTTGCAAACTTCCTATTACACACGTTACAGGAATGTGGTTTCTCTTCTACATGAACCAAGGTATGCAACTTCAGATTACTTCTAGTGTTAAATCTCTTATTGCATATCTCGCAAACATGGGCCTTTTCACCCGTATGGATCAGGTAATGCTTTCTTACGCTGTGGGGTTGAGTAAAACGCTGATGACATATTTCACAAGAGTAAGGTTTCTGTCCTGTGTGTACACCAGTATGTTTCTTCAAATAACCTGGTGTTGTGAACCTTTTGTTACACACTTTACAAACATGGCGCTTTTCACCCGTGTGAATGAGCATATGTACTTTATAATTACTAAGATCATTGAACTTTTTGTTGCATATGTTACACTCATGGTGCATTTCTCCTGTATGTTTAAGTGAATGTCTTTTGAGGTATAAAGACTTGGAAAACAATTTATGACACTCGGGGCATTCGTAAGTTCTTTCATTTGTGTGGATACGTAAATGTTCTTTGAGGTTACTTGAACGGTTAAACTTCTTATGGCACACGTTACATTCGTAAGGTTTATCAGATGTGTGTGTAACTAGATGGTCTTTGAGGTTACTAGCTCGAAGGAATTTCCTGTCACACATGTGGCATTCATGAAGTCCTTCTCCTGTATGAATGAGAGAATGTAATTTAAAATAATTATGATGACTAAACTGCTTATTGCATTCTTTGCACACAAAAGGTTTAGATGTAGCTTGTACATTAGATTGTTTTTCATGACTGCTAGCTCTGTTCAAGGATTTCTTACACACTTTACACATATTCGGATCCTCAAAAGCAGTAAGAAGAAAATGATCTGTAAATACGTCAGCATCACTAAACTTTTCACTGCATGTTTTGCACAGCTGATCATTTGTGACTTGTTTATCGTTATCATTGTCTTCTGTTGAAGAGAGGTTTTCTTGCGTGCAATTTTGCCGAGTGGCCGGATCTCCCGAACTGTATTAATCAGAAAACAATTTTAGTGTAAATATGGCATACCCAAAATATTCTTTAAGCACATAAACAAACACACATATCGACATGGAGATATAGAAATGTGTGTATATATAGATGTCTCACAACTGATCTGTCATAGATCAGGGTTGATTTTGAAGATCATTTCAAGTAAAAAATCTCAATACACTGCCTTGAAACACCATATCACCATAATTGTTGGGAATATGACACATGCACATATGCCTGTTCCATAAACAGCCACCTTGTCCTCATTCCAAGAGAAAGCCAGGGAGTGAGTTGCATGCAACTTTGTTAGTGAATGCACTGTAGCGCCTCTGGATTCACCCAAGTATTTTATGCATACATAATTGAATTACTTGTTTTTAAACTTCTAAAATTAGTGATATTTGACAAGAGACCACAGGACCAAATACAGAGCGAGACTCCACATTTAACAGGCTAGCCATATGAGATGTAATCTTTCAAGTATTTATTTTCCTTTTAAGTTATACATACTTGCTGTATCATATTTGTAAGGCAAGATGGCAAGAGTGTGGGTTCATAGATATGGTCAAAGTGACTTAAAAGATGAAGAGCAAGAGCTTAGACCTTATACTCACTTCATGCTTTCAAAACCTCCACATTCCCGCTGTTCCTCTGTACTGGGTTCATTCTTTGTTTCCTCTTTATCTTCCTCAATATCCTGACAGGAAAAAAGTAATAAGTTATGTGGACAAATAATTATTTATTTTTTCAGTAATGGTAAGAAGTCATGGAAACTGTAAAGAAAAAAGTGAACACCATGCAGAATATAATAATAACTCCAATCTTATGGCTGAGTGGATTGGCAGCACTGTGGTATTTTGGAATGTAATAGTTTTAAAAGGTAGAGTAAGTTAATACTTAAAAATTAGAAAACTGTACAAGCCAGCAGTTTAACCCACCTTAATTTCACATTTCACTTCAGAGAAAACGTAAGAAACTTCTGTTTCTTCGTTGTCTGTATCGGGAACCTCTATATTACACTGAGAAGATAATACATCAGATTCACTGTCTGAAGTAGGCTCCACTTTAATATCCATGATGTGCTGTTAAATAAACCATCAGTTTATTGTTTAATCAGAATTTAACTTCTTCAATACAAGTTAATTAAGTTTCTTATTACATGAGTGTAAAATACAAAATTAAAAGCTAGTGCTTGGTACATAAGTTGTTAAAAGGTGGTTCAATCCATTTCTGGATTATTTTTTCTGAAAATATGATTAAAAAATTGACAGTGGAACCACGGTTCCGGAGAATCTGACATAAATACGTCTCTGTATTTAAATTATATTTAAGCAATAAATACAATGAAAGGAAGGTAGCTGAATGTAATGTCAAAATTATCTAGTCTACGACGCACTTCTTCTACAAGCGATTCACAGCTCAGCTCTTTCTGCAATAACGAAAGCGGATTGTTGACTGCAGTAATGTAACCATTGTTGTCGATTTGTTGATATGGATCCTACACCTTTTCACTCCACGTTTTCCTTTCACTTTTTGCCAGATGTATTTACGTCAAACTATATTTTTAATTTCACATTTGAATATACTCACGGATATAAAATTACTGATGTGTATTGTGATGAATCATTTGCCACTGGTTATAAAAATTAACTTACAACCACGGCACAAAATGACCCTGCAGCCAGAATGGAAACAGAACATTTGCTACAGAAGCATAAATGTCCTCCTAGATACATGCAATATACTGTAAAAAATATATAAATGCACATGGCTTGTATAAGTACAGGAGTCCATCTGATATATATATATTTTTTTTTTCTTCATGACCCAAATTAATGAATTAATGACAAGGAAGAGGATATATTGTTGACAGTTAACTTAATATTTTTTTTAATAAAAATCACCTATCTGAGACATCACAGAATAACCAAGTAAGCTGTTAAGGTTTATCAACTATGATGGTAATTTTGTATCTAATGACTGGAACTGGATGATTATGTGCAGTGACCAGAAAACAATGTGCAGGAAACACGTGCACTGCTGTTCAGAAGAACTGCAGAAACCAAATGAAAACCTGTGTTGACAGTCAAGTCCAATACTGTGGCTAAACTGAGAGTACCTACTAAATACAAGTCAACAATATTACAGTTTCAGCTAATCTGTTCAGTATTAAGGTATATTAAATCTATTTGTATTAAAATAAGTGATATTTCAATTTATTTTCAAGTAAAATTAAAACATAAATGTGCAGATAATGGTTATCTGAAATTTTTAATATCAGTATTGTGTTAATTAATTATAGTAGAAGCTCATGTTTGTGTAAAGTAGAACCTGACCACACTGTAAAAATTTAAAAATATGCACTCACTTTCCCTCAGGCACACCATTCTTCCTATTAATATAGACTTAGTATGCATGCATGTGTGTATGCACATACACACACACAATCATAAAGTTGTTCTCAGGCTTATGCATCACACCACAAAGACACATCGAAGAGTGGAAATATAGCTCCATGATGGATGTGAGTGGTCAACATCATACTCTGAAGAAGAGCCTTTGGTACTCTGGTAACCAACGGATAGGGTCCAGAACCAGTCTGGACATAATGGCAAAGAAAAAATCCTTGCCAGTGCAGGAAAATGCACAAAACACATACACATGCATGCACACACACATATTACACCGTGTGGCTCAAATGTCACAATGTGTTTTTGCAATTCTTAATATGTTATGTTTTTGTTAAGTGACACTTACAAATTGCCCTTTCATGGATATGATGTTCAGAATGTAGTACAAATCTAATAACAATACATTATTCTTAGAAAATACATACAATCTGTAAGTTAGTCAAGAACTGTTTCTACTTTTACAAAACCAGAAGGTTCATTACTGTGTTTACAAGTGTCATAAACCTTTGCATAAAACAAATTTTGAAAAGGCAAGTTACACGATTATGACAATGAAGACAGAAGATACCTAAATACAAGGGATCATTATTAAATCCTAAGCTCTCCAACATACTCAATGTTGAAATACTGTAATATCTGTCACACCCTATCTACAATTAGTCGTCCATTTTGGTAAAGCCAAATGACGTATATTGCTCAAATATTATATTAGGACCATTTTAACAAGTGTAAAAACTAATATATACGTATTATACGCATGTCATATATGGATAAAGTTGAAGAAGATACAGCAAATAATATTTACACTTCAAAAGCAAGATTAAATTACAGCGAAAATACAGAGGAAAATTTTTTGTAAAACAAAACACTTACATGAGCACAATCAAATGTGTAAGAACAAGAACGCCGATCATATAAAATCACAGAAATAAACAATGTAAAAAAGTGTGGTTTGAAGCCACACCAAACAATGCTGTAAAACTACATGCAAAGAAATAAAACCATCTCGGGAACGACATAAAACAACAGAAGAAAATGCTCAAGAACATATACCGCTTTCCTTTGTCTATTGCTCTTTCCAGAGCATGGATTGCCTATATTGGTATCATCTGTGCCTAAAGAACTGATACTGATTTGAGATCAGACCACCAGAGTGTAGTCGTATTGGTATCAACAAGCGAGGTACGCATGGACTAAGGACATCTTTCATGAGTAGCTTGTACGTTTATCAAGTAACTCTAATTCATTGAGGAGAGATGTCGCGGATGCATGTTATCCGATGTAAGTGTGAACCTTTATTCTACGGATTCTAAATCTTGACACTAGATGGAGGAGCAGTTCATCTACCGGCGGGGTTTTGTTCTGCGCGCTATGTGAATGGAATGCAAGAGAGACGGAAAATATTTTTTTTTGGAAACCTATTAGAAAGTGGGGGCTTGAAAGAATGAACCAGAAAGAATTTCTGGACTTTTTAATAACTTGGATGCAATGGATGAAGATGGATGGAACTTCCTCAGGATCTTGTCCAATGGAGAGCTTTGTTATTACCAATATTTAACCTCCCAGTTCAGTTACAAAAGGTTGGTTCAATAGTTAATCTGTCAATTAATTTCGATTATAGAAGGTGTAAATTGCATAAGATAAGATATCCTCTCTTCGAATATTTCACCGAGAAACAGAATTAGGAATTAAGTGAAGAAATCTTTTGGT